AATGGTATCAATGTGGATTTCACAAGTTTCAAAATCTCCCCTCCCCCCACCGCATCCCAAAACCAGTCCAACTCGTCCCTGCCTCCCTAACCTGTTCTTCCTCCCACCTATCCCCTCCTCCCACCCCAAGCCGCACCTCCATCTCCTACCGACCAACCTCATCCCGCCCCCTTGACCTGTCCGTCCTCCCTGGACTGACCTATCCCCTTCCTAACTCCCTACCTACACTCACCTTTCCTGGCCCCATCCCCGCCTCTTCGACCTGTTTGTTTCCTCTCCACCTATCCTCTCCTCTATCCCTCTTCTATCCGCCTCCCACTCTCTCCCTATTTATTTCAAAACCCCCTTCCCCTCCCCCTTTTCTGATGAAGGGTCTAGGCCCGAAACGTCAGCCTCTCTGCTCCTATGATGCTGCTTGGCCTGCTGTGTTCATCCAGCCCTGCACCTTGTTGTCTCATGAAGAAAGAGGCCACCGTTTTAGCAGGCAAATAAATGTGTAAAGCTGAGAGAGCAAATGATGGTAAATTTAAGATACGTATTTGAACCAACATTTGCAAAGCAGGCACCCTCCCTGGATTCACTCCCTCTCCCTTCAGTTGCTGCAAGTGAACAGTTTCTCCACCCCACCACCCAGGGGGAGACATTGCTTTACTCCCAGATGTTGCACAAGCGGAGGAGGTTTCACTGGGAGGACAATATCTGCATTGTGACGTCCCGGGGCTGAAGCAGCCAATAGGAATTGCTGTGTTCGGTGGTGACGTTCTCGGGTTTCAGGCGCGTGGACGTGGGAGTGCCGCCCCCACCCATTGTTCCCCGACTGCAGTCAAGGTTTCCAGGGCAACCAGCTGGCGGCTCGGGCCAGAGCGAGAAGCTGCTCGGGGATCTGCCCCTCCCCCTCCCTCCGGCGGCAATTGCTGAATCAGAAGGTGAACATGATCAGCCTTTGACTGTTTTGTCTGTTTATGGTTTGTATGTTCTGTCTGTGGGGAAAGATATGGAGCATGTGGAAACAAAGAGGGAAGACCATGGAGGAATTTGAAAATGAGGATGGGAATTTTAAAATTGAGGCGGGGCTATACAGGGGGCCTTATATTGCTTTTATATGTCTGTTGATGTGATGTGGGCAGTGCTGCCTGGATCAGCATTTATTGCCCATCTCGGGTGCTCTGGAGAAAGAGCTGCTGTGGACCATGTCTATAATCTTTGCCTAATACAGTGGGGACTGGGCAAGTCAGAGTTTCTGGGATAACAAGGTGTAGAGCTGGATGAACACAGCAGGCCAAGCAGCATCAGAGGAGCAGGTTCTACTGGACCTGCAGCCTGTCAATTTAGGATGGGTAAATCATGTTTGACAAATCTAAAGGTTTTTTTTTGAAAATGTAACTGGTAGAACCGGTGGATGGGGTCATTTGGATTTTCTCAAAGCTTTTGATAAAGTCCCACTTAAGAGGTTAGTGTGCAAAATCAAAATGCATAAGATTGTTGGGAATTTACTGGTGTGGATTGCGAATTGGTTAGCAGCCAGAAAACAGTAGAAATAAATTATCTTTTTCAGAGTCTAAGGCTTTGACAATTAGGACACCACAAGGATCAGTACCCTCGGACCTCAGTTATTCAAAGTATACATCAATGATTTGGATGAGCGAATCCAATGTAATATTTCTAGGTTTGTTGACACAAAAGTAGGGGGATTGTGAGTGAGCAGGACATAGAGACTTCAGAGTAATTTAGACAATTTGAGTGAGTAGCAAATGCATGGCAGATGCAGTATCAGTGTGAAGTTATCCACTTTGGTACCAAATTCAGAATGGCAGAGTATAATTCAAGTGGTGGTCGATTTGGAAATGTTAATGTACAAAGGGACCTGGGTGTGCTTGTACACCAGTCATTCAATGCAAGCTTGTAGGTGCAGCAAGCAATTAGGAAGGCAAATGGAACTTTCTCCTTCATTTCAAGAGGGTTTGAGTACAGGAACAAGGTGGCCTTACAGCAGCTGTGTAGGGTTTTGTGAGGCCACATCTGAAATCTATGAGCAAGTTTGGTCTCCATAACAAAGATTCTTGCAATATTCTTGCTGCAGGCAAACAGCAATCTCTTGTATTGGTAAATGAGGGACAAAAGTTATCACTGACCATGAATCAAGAGGAGGCTCCAGTTGCTGTCTTTGTTTTAAGTCAGATTTGGAGATGATGTCACTTGTTGACAACACCTTAAAGCATTTTCCACAGTAGGAAGTGGGTGATGTTGCCTCACTCCTGCTTCATTTCCCTCTTGCAGAACAACACAGAGTCTGAGGCACTGTTTGGTTTAGGCACACCCACTGCAGGGCTCACCTCCCCACCCCACCACCTCCCCCTGCTACACACACTAAGAAAGGGATGATGTGGATAAAGTAATCCAAGAGGTGTAGTGTGAAATATAAGACAAAATAGAGAGATGACGTGTTAGAGGAGCTGGAATCATTGAAAGTGGATGAGTCACCAGGCCCAGATAAATAGTTCCCTGGAATGTTGAAGGAAATAGCAGATGCTGTGAGGATTATTTTTCAATCTTCACTTGACTCAGGTGAGGTGCCAAGGGGCTGGAGGAATGCAAATGTGGTGTTGTTTAAAACAGGTACAAAGGAAATGCCACACAACTATAGGCCAGTCAGTCTTACTTTGGTGGTGGGCAAATTGTAAGAATCAATCCTGTGAGATCAGAGAAACTGTCAGTTAGAAATGCATGAACTTGTCTGGGATAGTCAGCATTGCTTTGATGAGGGAAGGTCATACTTAACAAATTTGATTGAATTCTTTGAGGAATTGTTAAGGAGTCTCAATGTGGGTAGTGAAATGGATGTTGTCTTCATGGATTTTGTTAGGATATTTGACAAGGTCACACATGGCAAACTGGTCAAAAGTAAAAACTCATGGAATACATGGTAATGTGTCGAATTGGATCCTCTGTTTCCAGTGCTTCTGACGTCTTTTCAGTTGCAAGCTCCAGCAGGAGACTATAATATTGGAAGCAGTGAAATTGTTTCAGAGCTGAGCATTATGGTATTCAGCAAATTTGAGCTGATAGTGCTGTGTTCTGTTATCTGTGAGAGATTGCATGGTCCAGGGCTGATGTGGCTCCTTTAATCTGGATCTGAATTCATGTTCACCATTGCTCTATTTCATCTCTACCCTCCCAGATCTCCTCTCTGCAATTGTCTAACTTCTTCTGTCCCTGATAATGGTTGTATTTTAGCTCTGTTTTGTGTTTTACTGTTACATCTGCTAATTGTGCCTAAATTAGGCTTCCACCCCTGCCTATCCCCTGACCGTGTGCTTTTGACTTACCAACTTGATGTTCCAACAGAATTGTTAATAGTCAGAAATTGTTTTTAGTGCACTGCTATCAACTTCTACTCTGCAAATTGCAAGATTCATCCAGTTCACATTTCATAACCTACCATTTTGATTTTGTGGTTTCTGTCTCACTCTTTGTTACGTCCAAATCAGTTTAACACGATTTTTAGAAGAGGAGACTTTGCAGTTAACAAACTGAAACCAAACGTTACTCAGGATCTGAGAGAGTTACCAAACGTATCACAACCTGAATACTACGGCATGTTGGACATGGAAGGAGAAAGCACCATTCCCAGCGGGCAGAAACTAGTTCTGTTTTTGGGGAAGGCTTCAATCAATCATCTGGCCTATCAGAATGTAAACACACTCATAATGATTAGAAGCCGTGGAGATGAGGGGATTGTGGTAAAGACTTCTTTCATCTATCAATGCTGAAAAATCATCAGCATCGTCACACCAGGAAGAGGCCATTCACCTGTTTTGAGTGTGGAGAGGGATTCACTCAATCATCCACCCTGCTAACACTTCTGATGAAGGGTCTACGCCCGAAATGTCAGCCTTCCTGCTCCTATGATGCTGCTTGGCCTGCTGTGTTCATCCATCTCTGCACCTTGTTATCTCAGATTCTCCAGCATCTGCAGTTCCTACTATCTCTGACATACCAGAGTGTTCACACTGGCAAGAGGCTATTCACCCTCAGAGTGTGGGAAGAGATTTATCGATTCATCAAACCTGGTGACACACCAGCAAGTTCACACTGATGAGTGACCTTTTAAATGCCCAATCTGAAGAAAGTGCTATGAAAGGTCTGGGGCACTAATGCTCCATCAGTGTACTCACACTGACAAGAGACTGTTTGGGTGTTCTGACTGCCAGGCAGCATTTAGGTGATCATCTTGCCTCACTGCATACCATCAAGTTCGCACTAGGGAGAAGCCCTTTACCTGCTCTGACTGTGGGAAGGGAAGTCAGTCAGTCATCCCAGCACATTCACACTGTGGAGTGACCATTCACCTGCTCCAGCTGTGGGAAGGGAGTCACACAGGTATCATATCTGCTGAGTGACCAGAGAGTTCACAAGAAACTGCAGTGATTGGATTTTACTATTAACCACGTTCATTGTGGTCTGTTTCTGCTGATATTAATAACCACCTGCTCAGGTATATGTTAATGTAGATAAACATCAAATAAACCAGTTTTGTGTAAAACAGTGTTTCATCTTCTTATTGTCTCTAACACAGGGGATTCCCTTTTGAATTGCTGTCCTACTTCCCTCCATCCTCACCTTTTAACAAGAAGTATGAGAAGCTCCGTTGTCACTGAGATGAAGACAGTCCGATCAGCTGCCTCTGCCCGGACTGGGAAAATTGCTCTGGAAATCTCAGTGATCTGATTTGCCACCAATGTATTTACTCACAAAGGAAAGACCATTCAGGTGCTCTCACTGTAGGACTGGCCTCCGGCAATCATCTGCCTCACTGTACACCAGTGAGTTTACACGATAGGGAGGCTGTTCACTTGCTCTGAGCATGAGAAGATTCACTCAGACAGCCTACCTTCTGAGACACCAACAAGTTCATTAGTGACTGCAGGAGTTGGATTTCCTGTTAATCAAATGCTGAACACATTCATTTTCTCATTTGGTCTTTTTCTACTGATGTTAATAAATTCCAGAAGTTTTAAATGCAAATAATCAGAATGAAAACTCACATGAGTTAGCATAGTGTTAAACCCAGTGTGTTGAGTCTTTTTCATACCTCAAACACAAGTGAGTCCCTTTTGAAGGCTCTCCCTCTTTCTTCTAATGACACGGGTGAGATGTTCCAGGAGCTGAGACCCCACTACAAATAAGAAAATCTGATCGGTGCCTCCGCTGCTCCTATCCCTTCCACTAGCTCATTGGGTCAAGCAGCTTGTCAAGTTCTTCCTTGACCCCAGATCCCCAGCTTTCTCCAGTTTCTCTCCTGTCAGAGCTTGTCTTGTCCATGAGACCCATGTTTGTTCCACTGACCTATTCTCACTAAACATATTTGCTGATATTGTTAAAGGTTAACTCTCCCTTAAAATTTCATATTCCCAATCCTTTTTAAAAAAAGACTGGATTCCACGGTATTTGCAAAGACTTGAACTTGGTGTTCACCAAAGAGCTGTCCTTGGTCCCTCCTATTTCTCACCTACACATTGCCACTTTTTAACATCATCCAAAAGCACTGTGTCAGTTTTTACATGGTCACTGATAACTACCAGCTCTAGCTCACCATCAGCCCTGTCCATTCCTCTACTGTTATTCAATGATTCCACACCTAATACTGGACAAGCTGAAAAGTCCTCCAGGGAAACATTTGGAAGAACAATCCATTGTCTTCAGTTACTGCTACACATTCCATTCTCAAACCCCTGAATCTGTCCCTCTTCCCTGAGAGTAAGGCTGAACCACACTGTTCATAGTCTCAGTCACAGGTTTGACATGAAGATGAATTTTCAACCACAAAACCACACTTTCACTCACACCGGATATTCCAATCTCCATAAAGTCAGCCATCTCCACCCCAGCCCAGCTCATCAGCTGCTGAAACCCTTGTCTGTGCCTGTGTTAAACTTGATAATTATAATGCATTCCTGATCAGCTCACATTCACCCCAGCCCCGTGTGGAAATGTGAGATCTCTCAAAATCTCTGTTCTGCAATTCCTGTTCACATTCCCTCTAAACTGTGTGAGTGCAGTCAGTCCAAGCTTAAGTGGTCTGACTGAGGCATTGACTTCCAATTTTGGAAGTCATGAGCATGCACCATCCCTGGAGGCCTGCACAACCAGAATGAAAATTAGAGGAAATTCTGGTCCTGTTCACCCAACACCCTCTTTGTTCCCTGAGAGTGTTACTGCTCATTTCCTTTTCTGCGTTGAACTCTGAGGTCTGTATGCAGCAGCAGCAATGCTTGCTCGTGGGATCTTGGTGCTTCACTGGATCTTTTTTTACCTGTCCTTGCAGTGAATCTGTTAATCTTGGCCCCACACACTGTTGCTCCTCCCTAGGCTGAAATCCAAATGTTAGAGCATTTATACAATTTCATTCCTCCACTCCAGTCTCTTCCTTCCCTCTATCTTGTCTGCTTTGAATTCTCCACACATTGTGTGCAGGAACAGACTGAAATCAATGAGATAATGTTTTTAGTGGGGTCATGGGAACCGTGAAGAATGTAGAAGAATTAACTGAATTACTGTTCATTTTCAACTCATTTTACCTTTCTTCAGTTTAAATGTGTCGAGTATGGAAGAAACGCTTTAAAGTTTCAAAATTTGCAGGTGTGAAGGTAGGAAAATTGAATAAATCCTTTTGCACTCTTGAAATGTCAGAACTATCTGTCTCCTTGTTTGTCTGTGGTGCTGTGTGACCAAGTTAATCTCTTTCTATAATTATTTGGTGGATTTCCTCCCCTGGTTTGATTACACCCATAATAAGTAATAAGGACATAAATAGATGCAAGACTAGATATAGTAAATTTTACTTATTTTAAGTAAAGTAATTAGTTTTTAAAGCCCAATCAGGTGGCAGGGAAGGTGATGTGCTGTGACTTCAGGATGTGGAAACTCCTGGAGACTGGTGTGGTCCCAGACTGACATATCCTCAATAAGTGTCTTGGCTAGAGGAACCTCAGCTCATTATCATTGAACTCGACGCTGTAATACAAACACTACAAAATATCAGGGAGAAAGTTACGTGGACAGTTTGTTCCAGGTGATAGTCACAGCTCATAGGTATTCTCTTCTTATTTGGTCCATGGTTAGGGGCGTGAAAATATGATTCCACGTAAGGCAGGTTTGGGGATTTTCTTACGTTTCTAAGAACAGCATTTGAAATCTAAATACAGGTAAGTGTGACACTATTGAGAAACTGGGTTTGACTGTAGCAGTATAGTGGCAGACCTTCAAGAAGACATTTACTAACTCTTAGCAACAATGTATCCTAGTCAGAAAGTGACTAAATAATGAAGTTAAGAATACTTTCAAATTTAAAGAAACACTGCTCAAATTTACGAAGGTTAGTGGTAGGTCAGAAGATTGCACAAATTTGAGTGAACAGCAAAGAATGATTATAAAGAACAGGAAGAAAGTAGAGTGTTATTAAACTAGAGAGGGTTCAGAAGAGATTTACCAGGATGTTGCCAGCATGGAATGTTTGAGTTACAAAGGAAGACTGGAACTGCTTTCTCTGGTGCATTGGAGGTTGAGGGGTGACCTTATTGGGTTTATAAAATCAGGATTAATGGTAGGTGCCATTTTTCAAGGATGGTGGATTTCAAGACAAGAGAGGGTATTTTTAAGGTGAGTGGAGACAAATTTAAAAAACACATGTTTTCTAACACGTATGGAATGAACTTCCTGAGGAAGTAGTGGATGTCGGCACAGTTACACTGTTTAAAAGACACTTAGAAATGTATGTTCACAGGATGAGGGTGTCGCTGGCTAGGCAGCATTTATTGCCCATCTCTAAACAGTTCAGAGTCAACCACATTGCTGTAGGTCTAGAGTCACATGTAGGTCAGACCAGGTAAGGATGGCAGTTTCCTTCCTAAAAGGACAGTAGTGAACCAGATGGGTTTTCCTGACAGTCGGCAATGGATTCACAGTCATCATTAGATTCTTAATTCCAGATATTTGTTGAATTCAAATTCCACCATGGGCCACGGTGGGATTCAAACACAGGCCCCAGAACATTCTCTGGGTCTCTGGGTTAACAGTCCAGTGATAATACCACTAGGCCATTGCCTTCCCACTTGGGGGACAGTGCACTGATTCTCAATCCCCAGGACTCCCTGGGTCACCACAATCTAATCAGAGCACACAATATGCCTGATTTTGCTGTCTGTTGAATCAAGTTAACGGAAAATACAACCAAGTTCTGTACTTAACAAGAACTCCTGTATATTACATATACGAGAACCGAATTAGTTCTCATATCAGTTTTCTCACTATCCTCAAGCGGAGATGAGATTTGAATTCCTGATATGCAGAAACAAGAATCCTTTCAATGTCTCAGATAAGTAAATATCACCAAGAACATCAGAGTCAATGTCCCAGCAGCCTCAGAGAAAGGGAAGGTGAAATCGTCCCACAAGCTGCTCATGTGCAACTTTCAATTCCCAACACCCAATTTCAGGACTCTGATGTTCTCAGTGGCATTTCCTGATGGGAAAGCTGCAAATTGCACTCAAGCCAGGTAGGTGTTGAACCTACAAACCTAAGATCTGTAGTCAGATGTGTTACTCATTACATATAGACCCGCTCCATGCCCAGTGCTTACATGCTGCAGAGTTGTGGTGTTAACAGGGACATCACCATCACTGCTACACTTCAATGGTCCCCACTTTGAGAATAGGTGAATTTCACTGGCAAAAAAGAAACACATTTGTTCTCAGGTAGTTGCTTCAGTATGCCCTTCTATCTCTGCTGGAACTTTCCATTATTTTATTCACGGTCAGCTGCTGCAGTGAAATGTATTTTCAGGCTTTGAGTCATGGTTTGTTCAATTAGATTATGGGTGATCTGGTAATTCTCAACTCCATTCTCCTGGCTTTCCCCACCAGAGTCCCTTACTGATTAGAAATCTGACTTAATGAGCCAGTCTTGACAGCTCTCTGCAGTCAAGAATTCCAAAGATTCATAACTCTCAGAGAGAAGAACTTCCTCCTCAGCTCTGTCTTAAATGTGTGACCCTAGTTCTCAGATTCTGCTCTCTGGTCTAAGATTGTCCCAGAAGGGGAACCAACTTTGACAAAAAGCTGTCAAGCTCCTAAGAATCTTGTGTGTTTCAATAAGGAGCAGGGCTTATGTAGTCCTGTGGCCAGTATTTAGGAGCAGCTAAATACTCAGGAGCGGACGAATATGTGATTTGTTCCCAGCCTAGCATGATGATTTCATCTCTGACGTAAAACCCGCAGTGATTCAGGTAGAGTTACACTGTTTTGCTGTTGTCACTGTGAAGAATTCCAGGGCATTTAACAGTTCGTACAAGAACAACAAATCCCTGAATGAGGACTGAACCTGAGAAAGGGCTGTGAGAGCACCAAATCCTAACCACTAGACTACCAGGGAACACAACATTAATTAGCCCCTCGAGGCCTCGGGGAATGGAATTGGGGCTATGAATGAAACAAAGAAACAAAAGATGTGGCTGAAGCAGGTATGCAGGTGACAAAGAAACAAATTGAAAGAAAAAAAGAGAACAGAATAGGGGGCAGTGTTCACACACTGTGATTGTTAGTCTCGATGGCGAATCCAGAAAACTGTAAAGTGCTGAATTGAAAGGTGAGCTGCTTTCTTGGAGCTGACATTTAGTGTCATTGGAAGAGTGCATTGAGCCGATGACAGAAATGTCAGTGTGACAGCAATGTGGAGAATTAAAACGTAGAACTTGCTGCTCCAACAGGTTATGGATACTGAGGACCAATTATACATTTTAAAACTGCAGTGTTAGATTTTTGTTAAGAGCCTCAAGCGATATCGAACAAGGGTCAGTCCTGTTTGCATTGAATGGTGGAGGGGTCGAAAACAATTAAGTTCACTCTTTTTGCTGATGGAGATTCCAGTGAAAGGAAAGTTTAGGTAAGACTAATAACTAGAAAGCTTCTCTTTGAGATTTTTGTATCTTTGTCTATGAATATTTCAATAAAACTGCATTTGATAGCCTGGCCACTGCTTGAGGCATTGGGACTAATAGGGGAAATAAACAAATGTGTTCAGATACCAGTAAGATGGCTTGGGTAATGAATTTCAAGAGAACTTGATCAAGAGCAGGGATGTGTTGTCGCAGTTATACAGGCATTGGTGAGGCTACACCGAGAATATTGAGTGCAGTTTTGGTCTCCTTTTCTGAGGAAGGGTGCTCTTGCTCTCAAGGGAGTGCAATGAAGTTTGCCAGGCCGATTCTAGGGATGGCAGGACTGACATATGAGGAGATATTGACTAGGTTAGGATTGTTTTCGCTGGAATTCAGATGAATGAGGTGCGATCTCATAGAGACTTATAAAATCCTAACAGGACTCAACAGGATAATTGCAGGGAGGGTGTTCCTGATGGTAGGTGTGTTCAACCAGGGGTCACAGTCTGAGGATTCGGGGTAGATGATTTAGGACGGAGATGAGGAGACATTTCTTCACCCAAAGAGTGGTGAGCCTGTGGAATTCATTACCACAGGAAGTAGTTGATGCTAAAACATTGAATGTATTCAAGAGGCAACTAGATATAGCACTTGGGGTAAATGGGATCAAAGGTTATGGGGAGAAAGCAGGATTAGGCTATTGATTTGAATGATCAGCCATGCTTGTGATGAATGGCGGAGCAAACTCAAAGGGCCAAATGCCCTCCTCATGCTCCTATCTTCTATGTTTCTATCTTCTGAATAGTTACAATTTATTTTGACTGAAGTAAGGTAATAAAATTAATTATGCGCCTAACATTTAATTGAAGATGACATCCTGCAATTAATCAAATGTGTTAGTTAGTCTCCAGTTAGAAACAGATGATTAAACAATGAGGCTTGCAAATTTGGCCCTGCAACAGTCAAAGAACATGATGCATTTCCAAGTCAGGATGGTGTGTGGCTTGGAGGAGAAATTGTAGACACTGGTATTTCCCAAGCACCTGGTGCCCTTGACTTTCTGGGTGATCAAGTTATGGTTTTGGAAAGTGCTGTCTCAGGAGCCATGGTCAGTTGCTTTGCTGCATTAAGTTGATGGTGTTGTACTGCTGCTCCTGGGTACCAGGTGGCGAGGTCCTTACTGCCAACCTGCAAACATACATATTAGGAAAAGTAGGCTATTCAGCCCCTTGAGCCTGCTCTGCCATTCAATAAGATCATGTCTGTTCCTATATACTCCAAATAACCTTTGATTCCATTCACAAAATCTCTGATCTCTGCAGGTGACAATTCTAAGGTGACCTCAGATTACTTCTGCTTCACAGAGATGACTGTGATCAACATGGAATGATCAATGACATGGCTAAAATTGTTTGTGGCCAGGATTTGAATCACACATTGTTGATCACTGCATGGGTTTCACACAAAGGACACCATGATTACAGATTTCTTTAATACTCTCTAAGTGTCTGATTAGTGTAATTTGACCCCAGAAGGCTCTCACATTACTCACTGAGCCTGTGTCCTCAGACACGAAAAACCACTTACTCTGCCCACTCCAAGTTTGGTAGAAACTGTTTCTTCAATCAGAGTTTGAGTCAC